ACAGTGGATTGCATCAACTCTGGTCAAGTTTCCCTTCTGTATGTAACAAAGTAAAACATAAATCTGTGGATCTGGGTTTGATTACTCTGCCTGGCTTTCTCAAGGACCAGGATGTGACACAAACATCTGAATTATGGAACTGAAAGTGAAAGTAGTCAAACTGAAGTTTTAATAAACCAAAATACAGTTTCAAAGTAAATTAATTCAGATACAAAACTTTAAATTTATTTTCAATTTAGTGAAATTTACTTTCAAACCAATGAATTCAATTTCAGATTATGTAAATTCAGATTCACTTCCTGTTGGCACAAGATTTATCCCATAGAGGTTTCCTGTCTAACAGGAAGTGTGCCTGGATGATGTGATCCAGCTGACCCCGCCCACCTCACCTCACTTCCTCCTCCTTCAGCCGGCGTGCAGCTTGTTTCGACTGTTTGATCTGTAAGTCCAGTCTGTGCAGAAAGTCTCTGGCTGAAAGCTCCTCGGGCTCGGGGGGTCTGGAGTCCTCGGGGGGAGGGGACGAGGGCGGCGAGGGCTCCTCCTCCACGTCGTTCGCCACGACGCAGGGTGTGTCCGCCGAGCCCCGAGCCGCCGCCGTCGAGCCGTCCCCGTCGGGGGAGTCCAGAGACAGWCCGTTGAAGACGAAGCGTTTCTCGGACAGCACGGGGATGTTCAGGCTGGTCCTCAGGAAGAGGCAGTCGCTGCTGAAAAGCTTGTTGGCTCTTTTGATTTGCTCCATCTGGAAGAGCAGAAACAAAAACATTAGTTTCTCTTCTTCTGACGTCAAACATGAAGAAAGAAACCATCAGAAAGAGCTCCACCACAGCATGATGTAACCTGAGAGCAGGTTCATCACGCTGACAGGAAACACTTCACTTCCTGTTTGTGCAGGTGGAACGCAGCTCTGCAGGAACTAAAGCTCTCAGACCTGCTGATCACATGACAGAACCAAAAAATGACTGTAACAAAGTAAATGTTCTTAGTTACTATAAACCTGTGAGAGTATGGTATGGGTCCGATAACTGGGCTGATGTGATTTATGATTTCCCTCTTGTCACCATGATGGTGACGCTGCGCAGCCAGGAGTCACTGCAGCAGARCCGCATCTCCTTGTTTTTAACGCTTGTGTTTGTGTAAGATCTGTAAACATCAGTCAGAACAGCAGGATTAATATCAGGTATGGATAGAGCCGTGTGATGATGTGTTCTTGTGCAAGGTGGATGGTGTCACGGACGCTAATGCTAACGCTAACTCTACAAAACACCGACATAAACCAAAATACCAACTGTCGTCTACTAATCATTAGATCAAATGCTACATTTCATTTAGATTCATTTTTATGTCTATTTTTCCCAACCCAACACAGGGTCAGACACAACCATTGTTTAGTTTGTCCAACCTGTTTTTGTTTCAGACAAACAGATGTCCTGTTGTCCTGAGGACAAACAAGAAATAAAGACTGATTAAAGTTCTCTGCTGCAGGTGTTCATCATTTGTACAAATGAAAAGGAGAAAAAACTTGGTAAAGCTGAACAGAACACTAAACTGTAACCTTTAATAAGGTCATGTACACAGTATACTCCTATTTAAGTGAAAATATTTGACCTATGAGCAGAAAGAAGTTTATGAATGTTGGTGAACTCTAGATTTTATTCACAACATTTTTGCTGCGTTACTCCTGAGCTTTAAATTCTCTGTTTCAAAGAAGAGAACGAGGAAGTTTTATTCACACAGATCCTGTCAACCTGACTGAGAACAATTATATTTAATAAACTTTGTCTACACAACAATATACTTGTTCAATTACATTTTTCTTGAGATTGTTTTGGACAACCAGGTTTTGTCAACAGGTTGTCTGCTGGTCTACCCCTGAAATATACTGTCACATCCCTACCACTTAGCAAAACCTGTATGGCCCAGTTCTGGCCCACAGAGGCACTGACATTAGAGCTGGGCGGTATGACCTAAATTTTATATCACGGTATTTTCAACATTTTTATAGGTTTCACAGTATTTGACGGTATTTTTCTTT